AATAAAAAATAAAATCTTTATGTATCTAGTTAAATCTATATATAGTTCTCATATTAACAATTATATCTATTTAGTTAGGGATTATTTGCAGAACAGCACTATTTGTGTGTTCTGGCATAAGAACTACGAATTTCAGCTAGCTGGAGACTACTCCAGTATCGTAGGCATCAATATGGATACATTGGAGAAAAGTTTTGAGCAGAATGTGATCGATGCAGAGGCGAGGAGACAACAGCTCAAGCAGCTCGGACTGCACTACGACGATCTAGTGCTGAAGCTAACGTTGTCCATAGAGAGCTCACACTGCGAGGTGAGAGTTGAGCCATTCATTTCATATTTCTAGATATATTTTTGTATATATATTATACGTATTCTTTATTTTTCTACATTTCACAGACTTTTCTGATTTTTGGCGAATTTATGAGTCGCTTTGTGTCCGCCTTCGCACAGGCCTCCATGTACTCCATTTGGCGCTCGATGCGCAACAAATTCGTATTTGCTCATGTGGCACAGGAGCTGGATGAGGAGGCTTGCTGCAGCAGCTACTTTTTTCAGGGTTATAAATTTAATTAAATTTATAATATATATAACATTATTATCATATATTTTCTTTAATACATTAAATATGCAAAGCTCAGCCAAATATCCTATACATTTTTCAGATCAGCCCAACATACTTTTCGTCCTGCGCAGCTATGCGAATGCAACAGACTTTGAGCTGAAGACGAATAAATATGTGGGGCCCAGAGCAGAGCAGCCGCAGCAGCTCATCTTGGTAGATCGCTATGATGCACGACTGCAGCTGTTTCGGCACAATGTTCCTCTGTTTCCGGATAAGCTCAGAGATTTGCGGGGCCGTGAGGTGATCATCGCCTGCTTTGACTACAGACCCTACACAGTCATCAAATATGTGAGTTGGCGATTTTGGAGAATGTAGATTTAACTGAATTGGGGATCATTTAGACCAGTCCGAGCAATGCGCGTGATGTGGGCGTTGCAATGAACTCGAATTTATCCCATGTCCACATCGATGGCACTGAGACCCAAGTCGTGCTCAGCTTTTGTGCCCAATTCAATTGTACGGTGCAGATTGATACATGTAAGTAGATGGGGAATAAATAGATCTATCCGGGATAATGCTCCCCTCTCATAGCCGATGCCAATGACTGGGGCAACATCTATCCGAACATGTCGGGCGACGGCGCCTTGGGCATGATTCTCGGGCACAAGGCGGACATTTGCATTGGCGCCATGTACACGTGGTACGATGACTACACCTATCTGGACCTCTCCATGTACCTGGTGCGCTCGGGCATTACGTGCCTGGTGCCGGCGCCCAAGCGCCTGGCCAGCTGGTACCTGCCCCTGGAGCCGTTCCAGGCCACCCTCTGGGCGGCGGTGCTGCTCTGCCTGAGCATCGAGACGTTCGGCCTGGTGCTGGCCCACAGAAGTGAGCTGGAGCTGTACGCGGGCGCCACGCCCAGCCGCGGCTGGTGGCTGAGCACGAAGTTTGGCCTCGTGACGACCTTCAAGCTGTTTCTCTCGCAGTCGGGCAACAGCCACGCCCGCTCCGTAACGGTGCGGGTGCTGCTCTTCGCCTGCTTCCTGAACGACATCATCATCACGAGCATCTATGGCGGCGGCTTGGCCAGCATCCTGACCATACCCAGTCTGGACGAGGCGGCGGACACGATGCAGCGCATGCTCGCCCAGCGGCTGCAGTGGGCGGGCAACTCAGAGGCGTGGGTCTCCTCGCTTCGCGGCTCGGATGATGTGAGTAGACGGGTTTCCTATCCTATCTGACCTATTCCCAGTTGTTCTTCCACACAAACCCCATTCTAGCCCCTGATCAACGAGCTGCTGGGCAACTTTCGCGTCTACAGCGATGATCAATTGATGGAGCTGGCGCAGAGCCAGCGCATGGGATTCACCTTGGAGCGCTTGCCCTTTGGTAGCTAAACGAGAATTTCCCCCCATACGCCTCCTCTCCTGTATTTTCCCCTATTCCTAGGCCACTTTGCCATCGGCGACTATCTGACGGAGCAGTCCATTGAGCACATGGTGATCATGCAGGAGGATCTCTACTATCAGTATACGGTAGCCTTTGTGCCACGGCTCTGGCCGCTGCTGGAGCGCTTCAATGCCCTGGTCTATCGCTGGCACTCGTCCGGCTTCGACAAGTACTGGGAGGATCGCGTCGTGGCCGATAACCTAAATGTCAAGATCCAGCAACAGGTCGAGAGCACCGTGCTCTCCAGTGGCCAAGACGACATCGACATTGAGCCCGTCATGCTGGGCATGTCCAATTTCGCGGGCATCTTGCTCGTCTGGGTACTGGGCATCGGCCTGGCCTTGATGGCATTCTCTGTCGAGATGCTCACACTCAAGTACAAGACGTAAACCCGATCTGGAGAATGGTATTGCGTGGTCAGCTATTGCCAAATCTGTTTGCGCAACATTTTGCAATCGAAAGATTTCACTTTATGTAGCGCAGCACAGATGCGAAAGATACTAGCATCATATATCATCGGGCTGATCTCTTTAATGTTTTCTTCACTTTAGTTTCACTGAGCCAAGGGCCAACGCGCAACGATCTCCAGCGAGATGTCGCCGAGCAAACGACAGGCGGAAGTGGCGTGAAAGTTCTCAGACTCGCTGCGAATTATGCTCTTAGGAAAAACAAAACTCAAATATATATATTACCTTTTTACCTCAGCGAGGTTTAATGGCATAGCCCATGTACGTGATATCAAATAAATAAAAAACTAATAAAAGTGCTCTAGTCGGGAGTATGTGACTAGGGGAATACACAAACAGCTGGACTAGGGCTCGCGGTATACAGAAATTGTAGATAATCTCTTTGTAGATTATCTCTTTATAAGAAATATAGTACTATAAAGTAACTTCAGTTCTAGAGCTCAGTATAAATATATTGAGAAAAATTGTATAACAACTATACTTTAAGGGAAAGTATCTATCTATCTATCTATCTATCTATCTATCTATCTATATATCAATCTATCTATCTACATATCAATCTATCTATCTATATATCTATCAATCTCTGTCTGCAATATATTTATCGATAATAAAATGATGGAAAAACATATTATTTATGGTATACAATTAATAATATAAAGGCTCATTCTACATAGATTACAAGATCGCATCGTTCATACAGATATAAAGACATAGTTAGATCGAGTCAGATTGTTCTTTTGTCTTATATTTAATCTGGCTGCCAGCCAAAGAAACATCGGGAAAGCAGGTAAACATGAACAAGATATGGTTTAGAGATATCTTCATTATAATGAGCTCTAATTAATAGTTAAACATTAAAAACATCTTTAAAGTCAGAGGCATTACCTATTACTATAAATATTACTATATCATACCTAGAAACTATATCATTATACCCCAAGTTTAGGGTATCCATAAGAAAACAGAGTAGATACAAATTATTAGCTGCGTATCTCACAGATACGATTTAGTTACTTCGCGCCAGTGCAATGAACTGTTAGTCTGCTAGCCGAACCCAAAACCAGAGACAGAGCCAGAGCCAGAGACAGATCCAGATCCAGAGCTAGAGCTAGATTGGCCGCTCCTTGAGTGTGAAATTTTGTGAGTGCCTGTGGCCGAGGCCTTGGACATGGCCAAACATGATCAACACAATGAGTGTGAGTACACTTCATGTAAATTCTCGGCCGCCAGGGGGCGAGGCCGAAAAGTTAATTGACTGCGCGTTCGGCTTTCGGCAGTCTGGGCTGACGTGATCTTTGATTGACATGCAAAACGTGTTGCATGCGTTTTAGTTTCTGGGGTTTTCTTTTAGAAATTGCTATCGAAAATGTTTGTTAAAATATATGGATTTGCGTTCGTATCTGAACTCGGCTCGTAGTGAAAGTGAATTTAGCGAATGGCCACAGCAAAGCACTTTGCACATCTGTTTTGCCCAAGATTTGATCTTGACTCAGCCATAATTGAAAGATCTTTGAGCAATTACTGATAGAACGCGAATTGGACTAGACTTTGATCCATTGGGCACTTTCCCAAATGACATTGCCGCTGACTGTTCGCATGGCTATAAAACGCCTTTGGTTCTAGCCCACTTCAATCAGTCTAGCGAATTCAGTTATTTGGCCAAGAGGTGAGAGAATTCAAACACTTGCGGAATGTCCTATTTCTTGCTGCTGCTGTTGACTGCACTTGTTACCGCCGACTGGCCCGACGGTGGATTGGGTGAGTCAGTCCAAGATTGCTCCAAGCAGATCCTAGAGCATTCCCCACACTCTCTTCCCTTGCAGACGACTGCAAACAGCCGCCAGAGTACGGCAGCTGCCACTCCCACGTCCGCATGTGGTACTACAATCCCAACACCAGAAGCTGCAAACCCTTCGACTATTCGTCCTGCGGCGGCAACTCGAATCGCTTCTTCACCAAGACCGAGTGCTTCGCCCACTGTGCACCGCAGCGCGCAGCTCGATTTAATCACTGATCGAATTTAAACGACGAAGCAGAGGCAATGCCCGAGGCGCAAGCGATTTCCAGGCGACTAAAACTAAGTTTTTGGGTTAATGCATATTCAGATGTGTGTATTAAATATACATGCATATTATTAATATGTGTCTACACGTATTTATCTACATGTATTGACAGAGTTCATTAGGCTTCAAGTTTGTCTTACGCGACTGTAACATACTCTGTACTTAGCTAGAGATTTTTTCAATTATTAATTTATTAATGATTTTTTAGTTTATTTTTCACTATTATTAGACATTTATAGTAATTATTTATTTGCTTGACTTTATTCTGCATTTTTTGAATTATTTATTAATTAATTCTGTATTCAATTATTTATAGCATTTCTTTATTTGTGTATTATATATATTTTTTTTTTAATATTTTAAATATCTGTTTACTTGTTTATTCTTTGCTTATTTGCGACTCGCCTAAAAGCTTTTTATAGTTTATGCGTTTTACATATACATANAGCGCTTTCTTGCCTATTGTTGCTGCTCCAAACTTCTAGCAACATTGAATTGCTAATCTCGTATGTATCTGCAACATACGATATTTCGCCAAATGGAGCAAAAAGGAGCAAAAACCCTTTATAGCATTTGATTAAGGAATGTTTACTGAATACCTTGCTACTTAAACATTGAACAACAAACTCTAACATTATAAGTTATCTTCCACGAAACACACAAATATTTTTAAGGTTACGGCTGAAAATACAACTAGCAACACATTGGACGATTACACAATAAATCACAAGTAGCACAAAATCTTTTAATACATTCTGTTAAGCATACCTTTAAGAAGATTTTCCATAGTTAAATTGGTTTGTAAATTTTAATTGCAATAGTTTTTTTACGTCGACAGCTGAGAATAATTTGGCGCACTTTTTGCCATTCACCATGCAACCCTGAATCAGCTGACTTTGACGAAGCTTAAAACATTAGGGGAAGTCCCCAAAATTTTATAAAAATTGTTTTTATGTCTATTGGAATATCCTTAATGAGATAAAAAAAAAAAATTGCGGATTCGAGATAAAAAAAAAATTAGGTTTATGCCGCACTATCGGTATTTTTGCCCATAGTGCATTAGTTGATTAGTTGATGCACCTGCCATTTCTATAAACATATAGTCTCAAATGCAGCATACTCCTTTTATAATCATTAACTATTTGTACAGGGTATCAAAGGTAAATAAAATGCTGAGAAAATGTGGCAAGCGCGTTGACTGGGCTACTGTGGGCCCGCGGCTTGGTTACAAGTTCAGTGCGCTGTATGCAAATGTCTTGCCCCCTCTCTCTATCACTCTCTCTGTCTCTCTCCCTCTCTGTTGCTGCTTTTTCTCCCACAATAATTAGTTTATAACATAGTTGTGGCCATAGGCAGGCGAAAAGTGCAACAGCCATGGTGTGGGACAGCTGGTGAAAAGACCCTCGGATTGCAAACATATTTGGCAGCCCGCAGATGCGTGCCACAGAGTGCAGCTGCTTGCCGTTGGCTGCCTCCTGCCCCCTGCCCCCTGCCTAATGCCCTCAGCCTGCCACGGGCTGCTTGCGGCACTTACTTAACCTTACGTGCGTTGCTTTGATAATGCCACAGCCATAATGAAAACAACAGCAAAACAACAAACAAAACAAAAAATATATTTCACTTTGCACAACGCGACGCGACACGATGCGGCGACACATTCAATTGGCAGCGCGTTGTCTCATAATTTTTTAATAACTCACATGCTTGCATGAAATATAAAGATATAAATACGTGTATATGTACATACACATGTATATTTATGTGTATGTCTGTCTGTGTTTAGACGCATAAACAAATGTGAAAGTGAAAGAGCGCATAGCTTATGCACGGGCCTAATAAAATGACGATTAATTATTTAATTATGGAAAAAGCTTCGATTGCAACAAGCGCAGCACCTGGACAAGGCATACACCAAGCTGTTGGTGGGAAAGAGAGGGGGCATAGACAGTGCTCAGCTAGCCGCTCGGCCCCATCATTCTCCCATTTTGGGCAGAGCTGAGGCAGACGTTCATTGTTCGACATGACGCATTATTGCATTCGATTTAAGCTGATCAAAAAAAAGTGTGTGTGTGAGAGAGAGAGAGAGAGAGAGAGATAGGTAGAGAGAGAAACAATTAGAAATTGTCTGCACACTTTCGATTGTGTTGTTGCTTAATGGACACCTGTGCAGGAGAAATCGCAGCAGCTAAATCAAAGATGCAAAAACTAAAAGCCAAGCCAAGCTCTAACTCTACACATAGTATATATGTATGTATATACTACTCAGTCTGATATATACCCATTAGCTTAGCCCACATGTTTAGTTGCAGTCCATTTGGGTCTTGCCTCCCCACTCCCATTCACAGTACAATAAGAACGGGTCGCTGGGGCAATGCATATTTTCTATCTGTGCAAAAAACATGCAGCAGATCAAACGAAATTCAAATGAATAAAAACCGAGAGACAATAGACCCAGAGACAACACTGCGACAGCCAACGGACATCAATCATGCGGACAGCGAGTAAAGATCGCGGTTGCCACAGGCTGCTGTCTGTCTGTCCGCCCGTCCGCCCGTCCGCCCGTTCGACTGTCTGTTGGCTGTCGAAAAACGCAAAAAAAAAAAACAAGAAAACAGAAAATTGCATTTTGCAGGCAGCAAAAACTTTGAGTGCTTCACATTCAAATTGACACCAATTCGAGCCACGCACCTAAGAAACGTTGCTGCTGCTGCTTCTTCTTCTTCTTCTCTTTACTATGTAGACGCCCGCATATGGAAATTTTCATAAATTACATAATGAAAGCCCTAATATTGTATTTAAAGGTGCGTATTGTACGCACGTATTTTATAATTAACCAACAAGCGATAGTTGGCCAATGCCGAGGCAAGGCGGGTCGCTTGACCCATAAATAAACTTGACCCAACTTGAATTTAGCTTAGAATTGTTTAAAGTTGAACTATGTTCACATGATGTTATATTGTAGATCAAAGCTGAATAGTTGAATAAATATGTTGCCAACAATTGGGCTGGGCTGCCACAATGTCAAAATAATTATATAATAAAAAGCATTTATACGCACAATTTGTCATAAATATAATATATGTATATGTATGAAGTATATATGTAATAAAAGTATTGTTTGGCTAGCAATACTGCATGTGTATGCATAAATTTTGTTTAAATTCTACTCAACAGTTTCTTTAGCAATTAATAATAATTTTAATATTTCTATTAATTCTATATTTCACTTATATTTGAAAACTGTTCGCATATTAAATTATTCTCTAATTTTTCACAATTTAAACTGGAGTTTTTTCAAAACGCATTCCTAAGGTGCAGTACAAGCTAGGAACAGTATAAATGTATATGCATATAACAGTATATAACAGCACTAAAAGTCTACATGCATATTAACAGTCTGAGCTTTAACAGTGTTAGTTTTAACAGTCTGTGCAATGAATGCATCATGTTGTACATAACATATTTATGTATATTTACATTCCATTTTATCTGTATAGTGTTTTATATGTAGTTTATTAGTCTTTATATAGATTATATGTATTCTTATATTTTTATTTATTTTTTTACTTCTATTTAATTGTATTAAACTATATGTATTTATTTCTGATTAATTATGTCATTCTTTTGCCGTCTCGTTCTCAGTCAATAATTATTATAAGCCTAAGATCGCATAGAGACTGCAGGGCAACATAATCAATGTCCATTCCACTCGTTGGCTCGCCTTCTTCAGAGTGCCAAGTGAAAAGTGCTCTGAGGAAATTAGATGCAACGGGAATTTGCACAGTTAGCTGTAATTTGAGCGAGAAAAGCGCTTTGCACTTATGAAAATTGCTTTATCTTTGCTTTTATTCAATTGCGGAATTGCAAATTTCTTTGCTGCATTATTATTATCTATTTTTTTTTTTTTTTTTTTGCTGCCCAGCGGAAATGTTTAATATGCAATTCTTAGCTTCTRACTTGCTCAAGATATTATCTATCTATAGCTCTAGAGCCCTGGCTTGTTAGCGCTAGCTGACCATATTGAATGCAATCGTTGCTGCAGTTGCAGTCAATTCGAGATGGGATTGCAGCACTTAGAAGATCAATCTAAATTGAGATTGTATTGATATTGGAAGTATATATACATAAACGAGTTAAATATGATAGGCAGATATATGTAAATGAACTATTTTACAGATTATACTATAATAAATAATTATTAAATAAACGCTTTCATAGGCTTAAATATTTCATTTATAAGCCGATATGATGTATATTAATTCTACTTATTCAAATGTTTGTGATCTATTCCTATTGATCCTCCTTTACATGATCTACAAAATATGCAAATTATACATAACCAAAGTTTGCTGTTATCCATAAATACCCCATGGCACACCCCTAATTTCAATGTGGCACAGGAAAAGCTAACAATTGATCATATTAGAGATTTATACGAAAGACCCATTATTCATATGCTAATTCTACTATTTATTCGAAAGAAAAGTTCATCCAACATTGTTGTCGCACTCTTTGGCCCGCACTCAAAGGGGAAACTCTCGGCTAATGGATTAATGTAAATGTTTCTGGTACCCCCACAGGTCGTTAAGGCAGTTAGACAGTAAATGGTAAACGACACTGAGCGCCCGACTCAATTATGCCTCGACTGCACTAATTTGTCTCGGAAGGTAATTATGAAATTTCGGAAGGCCGACGGTCAACAATTTGTGGCTCATACGCAGCTGGCCCAGAGTCGTCGAGTCGTATGGCCCATTCATGCCATATATACCTATGTATATAGTATATAGTTAGCTCGCCTCCAGCTGTGGGTCGGCGTGGTAATCTACGATTTGCGCGGCCAGCAAAAGTGAAACTTGCGGTTGGCATTTGTCTTATCAAAGCGTCTATGACTCCAACTCCAGCTCCAACTCCGCTTCCCTCTCCGACTCTGCCGCTGGCTTTGTTTCGCCTTAGGCCTTTGTTGGGTCGCTGCAACAATTGGAGCCGAGTCCCGGGCCTGAATCTCTTTATACAGCTAGAGATAATCATGAAAAAACAAGAGCATCGTGTGAATTTCGCACAATGAACTTGAAATTTGTACTACAAATCTAAAGCCACAAGTAAGAGTGGATGCAAGTGGGGCATGCCAGACTTGAGGATGCCCTTTGATTAAGATTGAGTCGAACTTGCTTATAAAATACGAGTATAATTCATAAGAATTTTACAACTAGATCTAGGCAAATTCAAGTCCAAGTCTATGTCTTTACTTATCTATCTATCTCATTCCAGCATACCCTTTACTTTTATATTTTAATAGGTATTCCCCAAGCAAAGAAAACGCGCTCGCCTTTGTTTAATTAAGAATGCAAAAATACGCAACGCATATTTAGTGGTTCAGTGGTTAATAAACCGCTGCTTTGGCTCGTCATTTTCAATTATTTTCACATTTCTCATTTGCCACTGCCAGATCTTAACTGATTAGGCTTAGGCCGGCTGCATGCATTCGGAATCGAGTTGAGTCATTGACTCGCAGCATTGTTCATAGAAATCAATTAATCGAGTCTAGGTGCATTTTTTGTTTGTCATGCAGTGCGTGATTGATTGACTGACGCATTGAACTATTAGAGAAGAAAGCTGCTTTAATGTATAGCTTAAATGGGAAAGAATGCGATCCTTTTAAAGAAGACATTCTTGAAGTGGGAAAATTAATAATTGTGAAAGTATTTTTATTTTATTATTCTTGTTTTTTATTTTTATTATTTTTTTTTAATTTAAAAATTTTTAGAATATTTATTTATTTAGTTTATTTTGCATTAAAAAAAGATGAATAAATAGTATTCAATTTTAATTGGTATTTTTATATATTATTCATTTCATATATGTATATTACTTTATATTATTTTCTACTAATTTTTACTGCTAATATGAATGGAATGTTTTAATTTTCCTAAATGTGCCTATTTAATTCTTAAAAAAAAATACTTCTCTCAAATAATTATTTAATTGCAGAACATCACGTCAAAATATAATAAATTTTAAACACAATTTTGAGGTCTTTTAAAAAAGCAAATAATATCGAAGAGATTTGTATTTTGCAATTTCAATCAGTTTTATACACAAATAATAAAAATTACTAAAGATACCTTAAGCAATAACTGTTCATATAAACTCACCTTATTTTGTTTACGTCGCAACAGGTGAGGCGCCCCACCTGGCGGCTGCAGCGGCACGGCCGGCTCCGGCGTCACCTGTTGCACAGGACGCGGCGGCTTCAGCGCCAGCTTCTTGAGGCTCGCAATGCGCTTGTCGCACATCAAGGACACGTCATCGATGCGCTGCAGAACCTGCAAATATATAGAGTGCAAATGAATTTATATTAATCTGGTGATTCATTTCCAAAACTGTTAAAACTAAACGGAATTCTAAAGTCTAGATTTCTCTCCGAGTTCTTACAAAATGTAGTCCCATTTGGAAAGTCGCGCGATCTACATAGAAGTCCAATAGAAGTCTGCGCTGACAATTGTATTGAACTGAACTAAAATATGGAACTTTAAGTCGACTATTGTCATTCACTCCATGACTATGATCAGAAACTGTTCCATTCATAACGAGCCACAGAGTTTTCTAGGCTTCTTCATCTGCTATTCTTGCAATGAAAAAAGACTTTACTCTCAATTTTTGACATCGTCTTGGTATTGTTCGTCTGCATTATAAAGAGTCTAGTTCTTAGAACGACATCAGCAAAGAGAAAGTGTTAAGTAGCCAAGAAAATGGGCGTGCGGTCTCAATTCAAAATGCGGTTAGATAATAGAAAAGGCAGAAGCAGAGCAAGCTAGATGGTGCAGGAAATTTATAGTAGTTACAGTTGTTTATAGATATGTTCCGAATTACTTTTTTCCAGTTAAATTATATTGGTTTTAAATACATATTTGCATATTTAACTCAAGATAAGAGGAGATCAAATGTTTGTCGGAACTGGCTCAGTTTTGGATAGAATGAGAAGGAACATTCAAAGGGGCAGAGAAAATCGGTAATTGAAAATCTTCAAAGTATTCTAAAGTATCGAGTATTACTCATCATCATTATAATATAATCTATACAACTTAAAGTAAATCATGTACATAGTCTAGTAATACAGTAGTAATATACACAGCTATATAACTAGTTTAAATATACATTTATACTCCCCCTACTTGGTAGAGAGATATTCCCATTTCCATTTACATTTCATTTGATTATCATCTAAGCACACGCTTATCGCACACTTCTTGCTCTCTGCTCCATCCACGAAATGCATTTGCCCAACGCTTATGGCATAATAAATATAGCCCAACAACAATGTGTTTTATAATGCTGGAGAATTTTTAGTGGTATTCTCACGTGATTTCTCCCTGGTAAAATGAAATGAAAGAGCACGAAAGTAAAGCGAAGTTCGCTCAGCTCAGCTCAGCTCAGCTGAGGGAGACATTGCAACAGGTGTTGCAGCTCGGCTCGGGCATCGAACAATTGAATTTGTGCCACGCCAAAGGTGCAACAATTCCTCACACTTGAAGTCTAATGCTCGCTCACGTAGTGAAAGCGAGTATATAGGGTACATTTTGATTTTTGTATAAAGTATGAAATATAAACCTAAATAAAATATAATATAATAAAATA